CCCCAAAACCCCAAAACCCCAAAACCCCAAAACCCCAATGACGCTTAGAGAAATTGAAATTATTTTGAAGTTAACTTTCTGAATCCAGGCCAATTTTCAGGAGCTTTGAAATCATATTCTTCCATAACATGAAGGAGTAGTCTTGTAGGGTTATCTGGATATTTATAGTCTTCAACTTGATCAAGATAAGTCTTTGATTCTTCCCAGTTTCCGTTAATATATTGGTTAAATCCTTTAGAAAATATATCAATAAACTCATCAGTGATTCCACTTCTCATAAGTTCAATATCCTTATCCAAGATGAATTTTGCGCTGACTTGGATCTGATTGTTAAATGCTTGTTCTCTATATCTATTTCTCTCAATTCTGGCTTTAACTTTCTCTACTTTTTTATTTTGCTTGCTCATTGTATTCTTTCTCGGTTTTTCAATTTTTAGGTTTGTAAATTCCAAATCTCAAGTGTAAAGTCTTACAGGCTCGCTAGATCCTTTCACAGTAACTATATCAATAAGTCTCATATTCTCCTGTGATTTTTCAGTCATGAGATCAAAAAGTTTACCAGAAACCAATAGGGGTACACCAAATTGCTTTGTTGCTGCTTCTAATCGACTTGCCATATTAACATTAGGACTCAAATAAGATGCATCGATTTTAAAATCAGAACCAATAGCTCCTTCAATTGCCCATCCTACATGAAGTCCAAATCCCATTTTTACACTATAATTGGGAATTCTTTGTTTAAGAGCTGCATTCTTCCGATACTTGAATAATTTATGACTCTTCTGCACAGATGCTATAGTTTTTATGAAGGAAATAACACTCATATCAGCAATCTGAGATACTCTATCATTATCCTTCAATGTTAAATCTCCAGTATTTTTATCAAAAGTCTGATCTTCATCAGAGAATTTCCATACCAGCAAGAATGCTTCTCCAATATTCTTATTAGCAGCTCCGGAGAATTGATCGACTACACTATGAACAATTTCTGCTATTTCATTCACGAAAAGCATAATATCTTCCTGCAAAATTTCAGTAGCATCGGCAAAGTTTCTGATGTTTCAGAAACCAAAGATGCCTAGGATTTTCCTTCCAGGAATCATAGGGTCAACATCACCAGTGTGAGCCATGTTATCTGCAATGATTTTGGAACCTGCTTCTCCGAATCCAAGAGCAAGGAGAGCCCCAATTTTTACAATAGTTTGTTCAAGAATAACGGTTTCATATGGACCTTCCTTCTTTTTCTTCCTTTTCTTTTTGGTCTTCTCTTCATCCTCCTGAGCTTGCTCAAGAGCTAAGGCTTCATTTTCTTCCTGCTCAACTGCATCTAAAGGGTTCTGTGAAATTCTGTTCACCTTATGAATCATTTGCTCAATAGGGGTAATAACCAGATCATTTGCATCTTTTGAGAAGAACAGGGCTCCTGCTGCTAGCACAAAGCAGACAAAGAAGGTTCGTCCAATTGAAAGACCAGATGTCAGTTGAATATTCTTTCTAAGATCAAAAATAGCGACATAATCTCCTCCTTTAATCGTGGCTACTTCAGCTTCACTAAATCTTAATCTATCTGCAGAAACAGAATCAGAATCCCATGTTTGTGTGAAAGTGCCAATCTCCACATACAGAGATATCAGAGGGGTTCGTATATCCTTATGTTCTGCAAGGTAAGTGTTAAAGGCAGTCTGGAACTTATCTCCTTGAGGATTGTCAGAGAATAAGTCAATTAACTCTAATCCAAATACAAAGCTGTTATTCTCTTCACGGTACGTAGTCATGGAAAAGATAGGAACACTGAACATCATTGCTAAGACAAGGATGATAACTCTTTTAGTTGTTAGATCAGACAATTTCTTTCCGACCTTACTTTCTTCAGGTATCTTCAGGTCATCTTTAATTTCAAGATGAGGCACTTTTTCAATAACATCTACCTTCTCGCTCTTTTGTTGATGAGATCTTGCTTCAGAGAACGATCTTTCAGATCTGTTGATTGTTCCTTCATTTTCATGGTGAGATCCCTTTTCAACTAGACCTTCTTCATTATTTTCAGCAAGGGCAATATGAGCATGTTTATAAAGTTTGACAACTCTGATTAATCTAATAAGTCTGATAATTCTAATAATTCTTCCTGCTCTTGTACCAACTCTTGCTCCTCTTCCAGCCCTGGCGAGCTGTGAGGCTTGTTGTGCATTACTTGCTGAGAAATCTTGATTTCCTACAATCTTGTCCCATATCCACCCAATATCTGAAATAAGCGAAACAGTTGCCATGGTATCAAGCCAGAAATAGAATTTTAAAAAGTAGTCTTCTCTAGCAATGCTTGACAGCATAATTTCTAATGTGAAGAAAAAGAGGCATGCAGATGTAAATCCCCAGAAATATGGGTCAACATTATTTTTCAAATATAAGTAGCCTGAAATCGTCACCAAAGAGAGCATATATCGTAATCAGTGTCATGAATATGGTATAGTACATATTATCAAGAATTCTCAGGATGTGCTGTTTAAATTTATTCTTCTCTTTTTGCTTGACCTCCAAAAGATTTCCTTCCTCACTCCCGTCCTCACCATGGTCTTGCTCAATAACCTCCTTAGGAGTCAGGATGTTGATCTCACTCTTATTATGGATTATAGAGAGTTCTTGGTTAGAAACCTGGGAGCTTCTGAATTGTTCAGCCCTATCTCCAAATATAGGTGGTAGTTTAACTTCTTCTCTCTTCTCATCTTCATCTTCTTCTTCATCTTTGGGTTGGTATGGTCTCTCAGGAGAGGAAAGTTCGATATCTGACTCTACCTTCTCCTTATCCTCCTCAAAGGAGTGACGGAATTTAGACTCTCTATCAATCTTATGATCCATCTCTGGGATGGAATTCTTAATTTTTGTAACTAAATATTCAGCTTTGTTTCCCTTATGGTAGTCTTTTTCTTCTTCAATTTTACCAAGAGTGTTCTTAATAAAAATTGAACTAGCCAGCTCATCTTCTTCGAGAATTAACTTTTTATGAACTCTTTGCTTGGCTTTATCCTCTATTTAAGAATTATAGCACAGAATTTGACATGAAGAAGAGAGATTCGGAACATAAGAAGTGGAAAGACCTACCATCAATCATTTTAATTATTATAAATCTATATGAAATGTCCTGCTAGGGGTTTTGGGGTTTTGGGGTTTTGGGGTTTTGGGGTTTTGGGGTTTTGGGG